CTCAAACTCTTGAGCGAGCTCTTAACCAACTGAGCCACTCGGCTGGCCCTCATTCTTTTTTTTTTTTAAGATTTTATTGGGGAATTGGGGAAGGGGAACAGACAGGTAGACAAATTGCTGTTTTGTTCTTCAGTCTAGTTGTGGAGGACATTACTTCACTGGCCCATGTTGGTATGATCATTGCGTTCTTCCCGGGTGAGGCAATTGGTCACCGGTCATTGGTCGGCCCCTCACAGCGGCTCACAGCAGCTCTCATCCACTGCTGGCAACTCACGCTGGCTGCCAGCCACTCATGTAGCTCATGGCAGCCCACTGCAGCCCTGCTGCAGCCTACGCTGTCGCCGGCGACTCACAGCAGCCCAGCTCCAGATCGAGCTGTTGTTCACCATTTTAGCTGTAGAGGGCCCAGCGTCACTGGCCCTCAATGTGGGATCCGAACCGCGGCCCTGCTGCTCAGAGCTGGTGCTCCCAAGCGAGCTCTTAACCAATGAGCCACTCGGCCGGCCCATCATTCTTTTATAGTTCACATAAGTTTGTAAATACTGTCTCATGTTAGCAACTGGTCTTCAAGAACTGTATTTACTGATGAACAACAGCCCATCATATACCATCTTAGCTCTAGTTATATGCCAAAATTTGTCTAACCATTCCTCTATTTTGGACAGTGAGATTCCCTTCATGTTTCCTTAATTTATGAATAATGTTATAAGTAAAATTTACCAGGCTAAACATCCCAGTACATAACTGATCCATTCAGAGAAATGGATGGCTTGGTTAATGGGTACTAAGTTTTAAAATCTACTATGAATATTCTATCAGGTTGCTGTCGAGAAATGCTACATGCACAGTACATCCTGAGCCACTGTACATATTTTTGTGTGATTCTTTAAGTTGGAAACCTGATGCCTCAATTTCTAAGGATACAAAATTAGTATCAATATAGGTGCACCTCACAGACATGGTGGGTTCTATTCCAGACCACTGCAGTAAACCGAACGTTGCAATTCAGTGATTCACACAGTTTTTTTGGTTCCCCTGTGCATATAGAAAAGTTATATTTATACTATACTGTAGTCTATTGAAGTGTCCAACATTATGTATAAATAAACAAGGCATTTACCTTAATTAAAAACTTTATTGCTAAAAAGTGCTAACCATCATCTAAATCTTCAGCAAGGCATCATCTTTTGTGGCAGGGTTGGGACAAACCTTCAATTTGTAAAAAACAGTATCTACGCAGCACAATAAAGTGAAGCACAATAAAACAAGGTATGCCTGTAGTTAAAAACTGCAAATGGTTAGTCTACTGTGCTTTTTGGGTTAAGCTGAAAGTGCTCTGAAAATAACAATATGAGAGAAAATAATATGCATTCACTAGAGGAATTCATGACTAGAGATGAAGTGTACATGATTTAGCATGATGTTGTCATTCCCCGCCACCCCCTTGTTTTCTGGTTAACATATCTGTGAAGGCTCCATGGCCTGAATAAAAACTGTGCTCTAACAGTTTCTTAGTTTACCTTGGTATCCTTATTTCTAAGAAAGGACACTAAGGCCTTAGCAGAACAACCAGTGACACTTGAAGTCTAGAGAAAGTCACACACGCATACATAGCCACACACTCAGAAGACCTTGTGAAAATCTGCCTCCATATTAAAACCATACTTTTATCATAAAATAAAAGTGTACATAATACTGAGTGGGCTACTGAAGAAAGTCCACTCCCGACTTGACCCAACCCGACCCGACCCCACCCCACCCCACCCCTAGTAACCTCATCCAAGATAACTGCTAACATTCTGGTACGTTTTTCTTCTAATGTATTACTAGTTTACAAAAATGGAAAGAGTCATATGGTTGTCACTTGCTTTTAATTTTTAATATACAGTTGGGTACTTTTAAATACACAGTTGTCTGAAATAAAGTGTCTGGCTTTGGAAGCAAAAGGAACAGACGGGCAATGGTGCCCTGACAGAATATCTCTGGAAAAGCATAAAATACTATCATGACTGCTGCCTCTGGAAGAGGCGCTGGGGGTCAGGGTGGTGGGGAAACTGAATTTCCACCATAACTCTTTTTTGTTTCTTTTGAAGTTTTTATTTTGTGTGTTGTAGGGATATTTTGCTGTGCAATTGTTAATTTTTCATATACATAAACACACACATATACACACATGAAAAAATCAGGTGCTAGTAGGGTCTCGATTTTCAGTCTGCCATTTGCTCTGACAGTGGGAGAGTGATGGCTGCACACTCGCTGCATGTGGCTAGGTCTCACTCTGGCTTTTCAGTCATTCTGTATGAAGTGCCAGCAGACACTACCAGCTGCACCACTGAATGGGAGCTTTTCTGTTTCATCAGAAAAGGGGAACAAACATTTATATTCTGGCTGCCTTTTGGGACTTGCCAAAAGGGACAAGAAGGGAAATTTTAAAATGAGGGAAAGAGGGCTGAGTGGCGCGATGGTTAAGAACTGGCTTGGGATCCCACATGAGGGCCAGTGACACTGCCCTCCACAGCTAAGATGCTGCACAACAGCTCAACCTGGAGCTGGGCTGCCGGGAGTCGCTGGCGACGATGTAGGCTGCAGCCCCTGCTGCACTGGGCTGCCATAAAGCTACCGTGAGTGGCCAGCAGCCGGCATGAGTGGCCAGGAGCCGCCGTCCAGTGGCCGGCAACGGATCTGCCTCACCCAGGAAGAGTGCAATGATAATATCAACATGGGCCAGTGAAGCAACCTCCACAACTAGACTGAAGAACAAAACGACAGCAACTTGTCTGTTCCCCTTCCCCGATTCCCCAACGCTATTCCCCTCCCCTTCCCAATAAAATCTTTAAAAAGAAAAACTGAGGGAAAGAATGTTTTAAACTTGAATTAATTAGAACTACGTTTACAGAATGAAAGACGGTGGGGAAATGACCATG